AAATTTTCTGCCCTTCTCTGTATCCAAAGCTGGATTAGATATGTTGGCAAAAGTATTGGCCCTTGAATTGGGACCAAAAGGCATCCGCATCAATACCATCAAGTACAATTTGATTATATTTACATAGATTACTTGAGTGGTAATTGAACATGATGTTTTATCAAAAAATTAATCACTCTTTAGATAGTCATTTAACAATGACATTATTTTGTACAAAAAATACATAATTAAATGATAATGCTGTTTGTATTTTATATAAATATAGTGTGGGTAGTATACAGGTTAGCAATAAAGTGACCAGTATGCAAGAGAAAATCAAGGACGTGACACCATTGGGCCGATTGGGTGAGCCCCTGGACGTGGCCCGGGCCACAGTTTTTTTAGCCTCGAGTGACGCCCAGTTTATAACCGGCGCTAATCTCATAGTCGACGGCGGAGTTATACCTAATTTTGGCATTTTTAATATGAACTAATGATTTACTGATGTCAATTGATCATGTAAAGTTTATATTTTTATTATAATTGTTAAGTTTTATGTATATTAAAAATAGTAATTTTTAATTTTTATAAATAAATGATATTGTTTATTGTAAAAATAATTACATTTAAAGTATAAGTAAATTCAAATATTCTATTAAAACAATTAAGCGATTAATATAAAAGTTACATTACAACAAATAAGTGCATTAAAATATATAAAAACATTACACAATTTTAAAATACATGAAACAGTGTTTATTTACATATTACTGACTACTGTGTCGTCACACATGGGGGTAACTTTCGTTGCTTCGGGTTTGAGATATACTTTAATCATAACATCAATCGCCACAACCAGTACTATAGCTAAGCAGACAAACACCAGATTCATGTAAATGATAGAATAGGGTTGTGTCTCCAGTTTAATGCCCAACGCGTTGGGCACTATCGTCGACATTCCCGCCTGACATATAAGAGATAGGGCTATAGTCAGATCGCCGACAGGTGCCGTCCGCCAGCATAGTAGCAGCGTATGGGACAGTAGGGGTCCCACACCCACACCAAACATAATGTTGGCCACCCATAGCATTACGATTGAGTCGTTGGCAAATATGTAAAGCAATATCTCGGCCGCCAATACCAGAGTGAGACAAAAATATATAGCGATACTGACTCCCAGTCCCCGTATGGGCACCAGAAAGCCAAACACTCGGCTAACTGTAATGGCAGCGTTCAGGCCAGCCATCAAATAGGCACCGGTCTGTGCAGTCAACCGGAGTTCACAGTACTGGACAAATACCACGAGATAGCCCTCGTGTGACATCCATAGGCCCAGGTTTAATGACTGTACAATAGTGCACATCAACACCATTATGAACACTGGCGCCGACGGCATGATCTGTGCCCAAAATTTAATCTTGGTCTCTCGCCAAATCCACTTCACTTTCTCCCATATTTTATTAACATAGGTATTAGTTTCCGTTTCAACATTATGGTTTATGTCAATCTCTTTATTTGCGGGAACATATGGTTTGCATACGTAAAGTATGGCCAGAATAACACCGCACCCGCCAATTAACGCGCCTATTATTATATATGGTTTTATTATATTTGATCGGATGTCAGACACAATAGCACTGGTAGTGTTGGTCAGGTTATAGGAGCCGATAGGCAACCGATCGATCGGTATTTTTGACAAATAAGGTCCGGCTATAAGTGGCGCCGCAATACCCGCCAGAGGGGAGATTATCTGCAGGGTTTGCAGGTATGGCTCGGCCGCCGCCGACTCCCAGTCCCACATCTCTGTAATCCACGCCACAAATGACAGGTTTAAGTGATTCAAACACGTGCCGTATATTATGAGCACTAAGTTTAGCAGCAATGCAGTCGAGGGATACGGTATGACTGCTGTGGTTATGCCCATCAGTATCAAGTAAAATGCGTTCACCGCCTGTTTGTTACCAAGTGTTGGTCTATAGACTAGAATTTAGACATAATTTGTTTGCATATTATGTATGTTTTAGTGAGTGAGTGAGTGAGAGAGAGAGAGATTTAAATGTACCTGGTGCTCCGAAAACATATACACACCATCCGACAGTATTTGCGATTGAGATCTTTTCCAGACTAGTGTTGAATATAGTTTGCATATCTCTAAGTGTCGGTGCGCTCACATATACGGACAGGTGCTTTATACAAATAATAATTAAGTAATCTCAACCATCTCAAATTATTAATGCATTTATAAAGTAATACTAACCATGAAAAAGTAGATTACACATATTAGACATGACAGCACAGACTTGTGCTTAATATTATTAAACATCATGTATTACTTTAGTTTACAATTTTAACATTTAATCGGTAGATTGTTATCATGGTTAAAAATTATGGCAAGATAAACAATTGAAAATGGCAATTGTAAACATGAATACAGTAATAATTAATTATTTACGTAATAACAGTGGAAATTAATTAGTTAATCATACAATGACTTGTAATTAATTTTGCTGGTAGTTATAAATTATATTTATATTCATTCAATATTATAGTGTATGGGAAGCAGTCGTAAATACAACTACCTGTTAGATACATGTAATTCTGTAAATGCTTTGTTAAACATAAATAGATTGAGAACCATAAGTTCGTTCATTATAACTGTGCTTGTTAAATTTAAATGAAACAAGTTGCTTAAATTTAAAAACAGATACAGAATTTATATACAGATTTATATACAGTATAATAGAGTACAATAAATATAATAATTTCAGCATAACTTTTAGCAATTATATTGGTGTGAATGGTGCCTACATCCAAGTTGCTATCATAATAATTTAGACTTTTTAATTAGAAGTAATAGTAGTTAACTGTTAATCTATTAATTATTCTCTTATTTAAATTATTTTTATACATAATATTGACATTTTTATAATTGATTAATTTAACTTCTATTAGAGTATAACAAATAAATTACAGTATACTACTATTACTGTATATTTAGTTTATGATAAATTTATAATATCTTATTTTGATATCTAATCATTGTATTTAGCAAACAAAAATAATAATTATTATTATAAGACTAATTCATTTTAATTATATTTATAATTATATTTGTAACTTTAATATTTAACAATAATTACAAAGCTTAAACATAACAAACTGTTAATACAAAAATTAATCAGGTAAAAATTTTAATTTGTATAATAATAATTACAAGGTAAATATTTACAATGTACGAAATGCAATATCATCAATGGGGGCAACTTTATTTACATCATGTTTAATAAATACTCTAATCATAACATCAATCGCCACAACCAGCACTATAGCTAAGACAACAGCCACCAAATTCATATAGATCATAACATAGGGCAGTGCCTCCAGAATAATGCCCAACACGTTGGTCACAACGGCTGACGTAATGCCCTGAAAAATCGTGGACAGGGTTATTGTCATCTGAGCTACCGGTGCGATCCGCGCGTATAACAACAGGGTATGGGATAGTAGGGGTCCCACACCCACACCAAACAAAATGTTGGCCACCCATAGCATTACGAGCGAGTCGTTGGCAAATATGTAAAGCAATATCTCGGCGGCCAATACCAGAGTGAGGCAAAAATATATAGCGATACTGATCCCCAGTCCCCGTATGGGCACCAGAAAGCCAAACACTCGGCTAACTGTAATGGCAGCGTTCAGGCCAGCCATCAAATAGGCACCGGTCTGTGCGTTCAACCGTAGTCCGCAGTACTGGACAAATACCACGAGATATCCCTCGTGTGACATCCATAGACCCAGGTTTAATGATTGTACAATAGTGCACATCAACACCATTATAAACACCGGCGCCGACGGCATTAGATCTGTCTTAAAACTAAGCTTAACCCCTCGCCACCACAGTTTTAATTTTGAGCATTTACTATCGTCATTAATTTCACCATCATTATTATTGTTTATCACTTGTGTCGGCTGCACATATGGCTTAATTATATGAACTATGGCTAGCACAACACCGCACCCGCCAATTAATGAACCAATTATTATATACGGTACTAAAATTTTTGATCGCATTTCAGTTACCGTAGTATTTGTTTGGTTAGTGGTGTCGATAGGGATCTGTGTCGTAGAAATATAAGGCGATGCTATTAGTGGTGACACAATACCGGCCAAACCGGATACCACTTGTAGTGTTTGCAGGTAGCGCTCGGCTGTTCCCAAATCCATGTCCCATATCTCTGTAATCCACGCGACAAACGATAGATTCAAGTGATTGAAACATATGACACATACGATGAGCACTACTGTCATCAGCCCTAAACTCGGGGGATAGGGTGCGAGTGCTGTGGTTATGCCCATCAGTATCAGGTAAACCGAGTTCACCACTTGTTTGTTACCACGCATTGGCTTATAGACTATATTTATGAGCGAATATTTTTGTAACAATTAAATATCGAGAGAGAGAGAGAGAGAGAGAGAGAGAG